TTCTTGCCATCTTTCAATTTGCTTTTCCGTTCACCCCCCTGCCCACCCATTTCTCATTTCCTGACCTCAAATTATTACAAAGAGCCCCAAGGCTCATGGAAAGGAAAAAACCTGTTGTTTCAATTTTAACGCAAAACCGGTTGGTAAAGAATGCCAAAAACATGTTTTCAAGGGAGGTTCAGCCTCCTTTTTCTTGAACAGTGGAACAACTGTGTAAAGCTAATTAACTTATTTTGAGACAGTCTTTTGGCCCTTCCAAGAGGTCCGCCGCAGAAAAAGGCCGGTCCAGTGTCTTCTCCCAGTAAATTTCCGCGCAACCCTCCCTCCAGCTCACGGGAAACAGAAACTTTCAGGCGTTGTGATCCTGACCATTTCTTTGGCCAGCCTTTTTCCCCTTTCCCACCCCCATAACTTAAAACAAAACCAGCAATCTTGGTCAGTTTGTAACTCCTAAAGATCTCCCAAAAGTTCTTTTTTTTTTGGCCTAACCGTCCTTCCACCCCACCCCAGCAAGCTTTCCTTCTTTCTTTTCCCCTGCCACTCTAACCAACAGCCTTCCTCAAACTGGCTGCCCTCTTTTCAAGCAAGCATTGGAAGGTTTTATGCTCATGGGAAGGGAGTGAAGTGACAAGATCCATTTGCAGTTTGGAAGATTTCTCTGGCTGCAATGTGGAGAATGGGCTTGAGAGGGCAAGCCAGTGAGAAGGCTGTTGTAGAGTGCAGGGGAAAGAAGAGAGCTTGGCTGGGGTGGGGTGGAGGAGGTAGCAGACTTGGGAGATCTTTAGGAGTAACACTGACACCTTGGATGGTTCCAACTCATCAGAGGGTTCAAAATAAAATGGGGCTGGGAGTTTCCTCCTTGAGGGTCCACGCACCTACCTCATGGCAGCCGCAAAGGTGATTGCCTCCAATACAGGCCTGCTCTAATTCATGCGCAGAGATCCTTATTAGTCTACAGCTATTTCTTTCTCTCCTCAATTTCTGGTTATTTCTGTTACCTGAAGCAACATATAAGAATTTGATTTTAATGTTGGATGACTTTACAAGTTATTTTCTTGAAAACACTGTCAAAAAAAAAAAAAAATCAAACCCCAGCTTCTTCTCTTGATGAAAGAATCTTAATAAGCTGGATTCTTATCAATAGTTCCAAAGACCTGTGTTTGTGTCAATGGAATTTGTTTTATTTTATTTATTTATTTATTTATTTATTTTTGAGATAGGGTCTTGCTATGTCACCCAGGCTAGAGTGCAGTAATGTCATCATAGCTCACTGCAACCTCCAACTCCTGGACTCAAGTGATCCTCCTGCCTCAGCCTCCTGACTAACTGAGACCACAGGTGTGCACCACCATGCCCAGCTAATTTTTTAACTTTTTTGTGGAGATGGGGTCTCACTATGTTACTCAGGCTGGTCTGGAATTCCTGGCCTCCAGCAATCCTCCCACCACAGCCTTCCAAAGTACTAGGAGCCACTGTGCCTGGCCAGAATTAATTTTATTGTAATTCTCAGTTTATAGTTTTTAAAGCTCTTTACACTTCCTTCATAGATTTTTTGACAAAAATCTTTGAAGATGTATGTTCAGCATTTTGAACAAGTTTTCTTTTGTCATGCTCTTTTTTTTTTTTTTTTTTTTTATTATAGAGACAGAGTCTCGCTTTGTTGCCCAGGCTAGAGTGAGTGGCGTGGGCGTCCCTAGCTCACAGCAACCTCAAACTCCTGGGCTCGAGTGATCCTTCTGCCTCAGCCTCCCGGGTAGCTGGGACTACAGGCATGCGCCACCATGCCCGGCTAATTTTTTATATATATATTAGTTGGCCAATTAATTCCTTTCTATTTATAGTAGAGACGGGGTCTCGCTCGGGCTGGTTTTGAACTCCTGACCTTGAGCAATCCGCCCGCCTCGGCCTCCCAAGAGCTAGGATTACAGGCGTGAGCCACAGCGCCCGGCCCCAACTCAATTTTATTAGCAAAAATCAAGTGTTTTCCTTTTTGGGCCATCTCCCTTCAGATTTTCCAAGAATGCTTTGCTGAGCTATTCCACTGCCATGGTTGGCTAATGGGCCTCGAAGCACCCACCTTCTCTCCAGCCCATTCTCTTGAGAGCAGCCAGAGTGCTCTGATCAAGTCACACCCTAGCTTAAAACTTTTCTGGGTGTCATTGCCCTTGGAACAAAGAGCAAACTCCTAACTATACCTCAGAGGCTTGCGTGAGGTGGCCCCTTCCCATTTTTCCAATCTGTGGCCTCTCCTACTCCATCTGTGTTCCACCAACTGGTCTTCTTTCACTCCTCAATGGCAGGAAGCTTCCTAACGCCTCGGGGCCTTTGTGGTGGCTGTTCCCGCAAGCTTGTGTGCCTCTCGGTCTCTGGAGAGGACTTCACTGATGACTCTATCCAGAGGGCGTGCACCTGTGCCCCTACACCAGCAGCTCTTGGGCCTTTATTCTCCCTGGCACCCAGCCCCGCACAGAGGAGACAGTGGACCTGGTGTATTTCCTAGTCCTCTCTCTCTGCTCACATTTGCAATCAGGTCAATTGGCCCGACTCTTCTTTCGCTCAGGTGAGTTTCCCTCTGGGACCTTTAGTGTTCTTAAATGCCAGGAGACCTCATTTGGAACCATCCAAGGCTGCAGGGATGGGTGAGAACCAGAGCGGGCTGGCTTGGCTGTTTAAGGAATCTGGTCTGTGTCCTAAGACAAAAGGAAGCATTGGAAGGTTTTATGCTCATGGGAAGGGAGTGAAGTGACAAGATCCATTTGCAGTTTGGAAGATTTCTCTGGCTGCAATGTGGAGAATGGACTTGAGAAGGCAAGCCAGTGAGAAGGCTGTTGTAGAGTGCAGGGGAAAGAAGAGAGCTTGGCTGGGGTGGGGTGGAGGTGGTAGCAGACTTGGGAGATCTTTAGGAGTAACACTGACAAGATCTGGTGTTAAGTTATGGGGGTGGGAGGGGAGGTGCCCAAGATGTCAAGGATCACACCTGAGTTTCTGGTTCCCGTGACTGGAGGGAGTGCTGGAAATACTGGGAGACACTGGGACCGGCTCTGCCGCGGACCTCTGGAGCAAAGACTGTCTTCCATAGTATTAGCTACACATTGTCACTCAGAAAAGGAGGCTGACCTCCTGACATGTTTTGCATTCTTTACCAACCGGTTGCGTTAAATGACAACAGGTTTCCTTCCATGACTGGCTCTGTATATTTGAGTCAGGATGAGATGGTGGGAGGGGGGTGAGGAGCAAATGAGATGGCAGAGCTGTGGGAAGAGGGGCAAGGGGGTGGGCAGGTGGGGTGGCCCTCCCAGGGAAAAAAGGTTGAGTGTCCCTCTTATATTTGGAGCAAGTTCCACCTCTGCCAATCCTAGTTTATCCTCTTCTTACTTCCATCTGACTTACATAAAAATCATGAATCTTGACTCTAAAATACTCAAATGTCATTTGCCATTTGGAGGAAATAATTTTCTTCAGCCTAAAAAAGTCCTTCGTAGAGAAAGAAATAGCCCCGTAAGTCTAGTGACGCGACTGCCTGCTCCCACCATGACTGGAAAGCCCCTGTCTACAAGAATCAGCAGTGACCTGCTTCACCAACTTGGATCTATCTCTTTTATTTCCTAACTGATTTCCTGAGTCCCAACTCAATTTTTTTTTTTTTTTTTTTTTGAGACAGAGTCTCACTTTGTTGCCTGGGCTAGAGTGAGTGCCGTGGCGTCAGCCTAGCTCACAGCAACCTCAATCTCCTGGGCTCAAGCGATCCTTCTGCCTCAGCTTCCCGAGTAGCTGGGACTACAGGCATGTGCCACCATGCCCGGCTAATTATTTCTTTCTTTCCATCTATCTATCTATCTATCTATCTATATTAGTTGGCCAATTAATTTCTTTCTATTTTTATAGTAGAGACGGGGTCTCGCTTTTGCTCAGGCTGGTTTTGAACTCCTGACCTCCAGCAACCTGCCTGCCTCGGCCTCCCAGAGTGCTAGGATTACAGGTGTGAGCCACCGCGCCCAGCCAATCATGCTCTTTTCTTTCAGGACTGAACATGTAATAAACCTGCTTACAGCCAATAATCATTTTTTTTCTTTTCTTTTCTTTCTTTTTTTTTTTTTTTTTTTTTGAGACAGAGTCTTGCTCTGTTGCCCTGGCTAGAGTTTAGCAGTGTTATCATGGCTCACTGAAACCTCATACTACTGGGCTCAAGTGATCCTCCTGCCTCAGCCTCCTGAGTAGCTGGGACTACAGGTGCTCACCACCATGCCTAGCTGACTTTTCTATTTTTTGTAGAGATGGGGCCTTGCTCTTGCTCAGGCTGGTCTTGAATTCCTGAGTTCAAGCGATCCTCCCACCTTTGCCTCCCAGAGTGCTAAGATTACAGGTGTGAGCCACCACACCCAGCCTTATAGCCAATAAACATTTGTTTGAGGACAAAGATTAGCTATTTCCAGCATGTGTAAAAATACCCATCCTTAATTGCTTTTCCACCAAAATTGGCCTTTAAAATGTTTATGGTCATTTTAAAAAATAAATGCGGTCACCACAAAATACTCAAAAGTTACCAAAAGCATAGACCCCTTACTCTAAAAGCTTCCTTGGCTTAGGTATTTTTGCCAGGTAAAAAGCAAATGTCTTTGGGACAGTTAATACTATAGACCGTCACTATCACTTACATCTTGGTGTTTGCTTGAATTTTTTTCTGAAAATTAATGTTTGTGGGTGGAATTGGGAAACCTGTAAAAGTACTGGTCACGTGAGAAAGATTAGCAGGCAGAGAACTCAAACAGGGAAAGGAGATGGAAGAGCCAAGGACTCAGGACATTGAAGTTCCCCCAGCAACAAACTGGTGGAGCCTCTGTCAATCACAGAGGACAGGGCTGAATGGTCAGGTGCATCTCTGTTGCACCATGTCATGCAGCCACTGGTCCAGTGCATCGCATGAGTAGGTGAACCCTTTTCCTCATGCACATCTCTCCCTTCCCAACTAAGCCATTCATTCATTTATTCAATAAGAATTAATTGAACACCAGCTGTGTGCCAGGGAACATGCTAAGTACAAACAAGGAGCCTGGAGCAAACAAGGAACACATGGAAGTTACATTCTAGTGGGAAGACAGACAATAAACAAGCAAACAAATAATAAAAAACAAAAACCAAGATAATTGCGTCGTTTGCAAAGTGCTGTGAAGAAACAGACAGTGAGATGGGGCAGGTGAACAGGAGCACTTTCGAGTCATCAGGGAAGCTGGCCCTGAGTAGGTGGCATTGGAGCGCTACCTAATGAGGACGATGAGGTTATAGATGAGAAGGGCCCAGCCCCATTAAATTCTGGGAGGAGAGCATTCCAGGCAGGGTGAGAAAAGGCTTAATGCCCAAGAGACAGGAAGGGGCTTTCTAGTAACAAAACTTAGGGTGGTGCGGCTGAGGAACAGTGATTGAGGAGGGTTGTATGAGACAAGATTAGTAAATTTATGATCTTCATAAATTAGATTATGAAGGCCTTTAATTGATCAGGGTCTAGATGGGAGAGAGAAATAATTCCAGTTATTTTATTAAAAAATTTTTTTTTCACCTTCCTTGCCTATCTCATTCTAGTTATTTTAACAGAGAGAACTTAATGTAAAGAATTGTTAACTTGGTAACTGAAAAGACAAAAAGTATATAGGAGTCAGGGGCATGGTGTTGTGTGCCTGTAATACCAGCTATTCAGGAAGCTGAGGCAGGAGGATCACTTGTGACCAGGAGTTTGAGATCAGCCTGGGCAACATAGCAAGATCCCATCTCTAAAAATGAAAAAAAATCAGCTGGGTGTGGTGGCCTGCACCTGTGGTCCTAGCTACACAGGAAGCTGAGGCAGGAGGATCACTTGAGCCCAGGAATTCAAGCTGCAGCGAGCCATGATCACACCACTATACTCTAGCCTGGGTGACAGAGCTAGACCCTGTCTCTTTAAAAAAAAAAAAAAAGCACACTGGAAGGTTGGAAGGTATCATGAAGGTAGCAGCTTTAGGAAGCA